GCAAACTGGAAATAACCCGATATAAAAAAAAAATGTGGACTAGCCACATACACAGACTCATCTGAACTGACCAGAAGCAGGTCACTGATGATATTTTTACCAAGAATAGGGTTTTTGGAGTGAACCCCTAAGCTAGCTTGTTTTATGATCACTTTTCTACACAGTGAAGATAATCCATCTCCATCTTTTCTATTTAAATTTACTAAAGTTATAATAGTTGGGGGGACCAACAGATGACATAATGGCTATATCGCTGGACTACCATATAGTCAACCACAGCTCGAGTCCCAGATCCAGTGGCTTAAACTCATGCAGGGCATGTGGGCATGCTTGCTCAGGATCCCAAGAAGAGAGTGGAGGAGAAGGGATTGCAACATGGCCATTCCCCCCCCGGGGGGTGATTTCTCACTTTCTGTCTCTCTGTCTCTGTCTTTCTGGCGAGCTCATGTGCCCTATAGCAAAAACCTCTCAAAAAATTATAATTGGGATTGGTTTTCCATCACAAATATTAAAAATTTCACATGTTGATCAATTATGATCAAACTTTGACCTCTGTCCTTATGCACAACTCTGAACCCTACTACACCCACTTTTCTGGTGTCAGGGTTTACCTGGTGCAGTTCTAGCTGATTTAGTCAAATCATTTTCTTTTATTTTTGTTTGCAATTAGATTATGAATTTGATTTTCCAAAACACTTATATTTGTTTAACCATCCCACAAGAAAATAGTGAGCACGTCCCTTGGATGTCTGGGTCCCCAGAGCTTTGGGTTACCATGTGGCCAGTCCATTTCTTCTCATTACTGCTGTCACCATGTGCAGGAGACCTCTGCTCAGGGCCTGTGAGCCATTTTCAGGGTTAGAATATCCACGGGGACATGAAAGCGGATCCAAGAGTCTCAACTCAGTTATAAACAACTTCAGAATTTTTAAAATGAAAATTGGGATATCTATCATGTTGTCACAGATCACCAAGAATAAGTGTTGGTGGGAACCAGCAGTTAGCGTAATGGCTATGTCTCTGGATTCCCACGTAGTCAACTGTGGTTCGCATCCCAGACCCGGTGGCTTAAAACTCACACCGGGCACGTGTGCGTGTGTGCCCAAGATCCCGAGAGGAGAATGGAGAAGGGATTGCGGCATGACCATCCCCTCTGGGGGCTGATTTCTTGCTTTCTGTCTCTATGTTTTTCTCTGTCTGTCTGGCGAGCTCACGCACCCTGTAGCGAAAACCTCTCCAAAAATAAATAAAGAAAGAATAAGTGTTGGTTCGGTGTTGGGAAGTGGACACACTCATACATGGAAAGCTGCACCTTCCCTCTAAGGAAGGTGGCACCATATCTTACAGACAACTCTCCTGTGGAAGATGAGCTTAGAGAAGTGAGAGCGTCTGCATGCGCGAATATAGAACTATCCCTATATTTGCTAAATAGAAGAGTCCTAGAGTAGTATCATGAATAATGAAAGAAACAAGGAGGGGATCTTCTGATGTTTCAACATTTTCTTGTGCGTGGGAAGTTTCCAGAAGGTAACCAAGAAATCACCTGAGAAGAGGCCCTGAGAAGACAAATGACAGGTGGAGATTTTCCACCTCACTGAAGGGAGAATCAATGAACTCAGGACAAGGGTTTGAGCACGTAAGAGTGAAGGGCCCAGCAGAGTCCATGCTGCATCTCCCTGCACTTGTCCAGAACCCGACCATGCCCACCACTCCCCCCTAGCCTGAGCGCACCTTGCCCCATGATTCCCACTGCAAGCCCACCTGGCTCAGGGCCCAGGGCTGCCCCACCATGGGGGCTGATCTCTGAGCTGCTGCTCTCGGCAGGGCCTGGAGCCTGGCTTCTGGCTCGCTCTGTAACCTAGGAACTACATTTTGTTTGCTTCGTGTTTAAAGGGTGACTAGTGTTGGCACCAGAGTACAAAAATTATACATCCAAGAGAGAGATTAAAAACCAGTTCCAGTAGTGAGAGCCCAAAGTCAACAAATGAATTGGTAACCCAATTTTAGTGAAGCCTGCTTCTGGTCAAGGCATATTGAATTTTGTTTTAAAACATTTTTTAGGGTCAGGCTGTGGCATGGTGGTTGCAGTGGCTGGAGCCCACATGGCCAGCTATGTGATTTGAGTACTACACTTGACAGCTTGAGAAACACACTGGGGGATCAGCAGTTGGCGTAATAGCTATGTCGCTGAAATCCCATGTAGCCGACTGCAATTTGAGTCCCAGACCTGGTGGCTTAAATTCACGCCGGGTGCGTGTCCGTGCATGCCCAAGATCTCGAGAGGAAATGGAGAAGGGATTGTGGCATGGCCATTCCCTCGGGGAGGGGGGGGTTGTGTGGTGTGTGATTTATTGCTTTCTATCTCTCTCTGTCTCTTTCCGGCAAGCACACGTGCCCTATAGCAAAAACCTCTCCAAACACACACAGACACAATGGGTGAATATGCATGTACCCAGAACCCTATCGACTGCAATCTATGTCTCTCTTTCTCTCTCTCTCTCTTCTCCCCCTCCAACTCTGCAAGCTCAAGGGCCCTCTGGCAATTTTTTTTTTTTTAATTTTAAGTTTATTCCATAAGTGGCCCGCAGGTGGTGTGGTGATTGAGACACTGGACTCCCACATGACCAGCCTGTTCTAGACCAGGCCCTGGTGGCTTGCTCTCTCTCTCTCTCTCTCTCTCTCATGAGCACACATGTCCTATAGCAAATTAAATAAAATGAAATAATTCCTTTTTCAGAAAACGTTTATTCCCGGTACCAGCAGATGGCTTAACAGTTATGTCACTGGACGCCCACGTGGCCGATCGCATTTCGAGTCCCAGACTTGAAAGCTTAAAACTCACGCCAGATGCATGTCCATGCGTGCCCAAAATCCCAAGAGGAGAATGGAGAAGGGATTGTGTTGTGTCCTTCTCCCCGGGGAGTTAATTTCTCGCTGTCTCTGTCTCTCTGGTGAGCACACACACCTTATAGCAAAAATCTCTCCAAAAAAAGAGTGGTAGAGGGACAAAAACGCACCCGCGACAGGGTCATGGTTCTAGGATCCACCCCAGCTACACCCGTCCGAGCCTGAGGGCCCAGTGGTCTCAGCGAGGTCACCGGCAGAGAGACGCCCTGTGCACTGGCCTCACAGAATGTTGCGTTCTGTTGCTGCACAACTATCTGGCCCTTATGTTTTAGTCAAAAACTGCTCTGCTATGGGGCTGGGGGTAGTGCAAGCACTTGGGTGTGGTTCACTGTATGTTAGGATCATGGGTGGGAAAACGGTGGGCTCCAAAGCGCACCCTGCGGGTGAGCCTGAGATCATTCACCAGCAGCTCATCGCCAGCAGGCTCTTACTGATGGTCCACATCTACGAGCAGTCATACTGTGTCAAGCCTTGTTTTCATGGTCACACAACCCTCCCACCCAAGGGCACAGAGCTGATGAGAGGGAACCCAGACTGACCAATGGATTCCTAAGACGAGGACTCGTGGTTGCTCACCTCTGTGGCCCAGTGGCGGCGCACAGCGCCCTCGGCTCTCTCACCCAGGACTCCTCCCTGCTACAGCGCCCTCTGCTGTTCCCTCTGTGACCAAGTGCAGGTCATCTTTCGCCTGACTCACACTTACATAGTTCGGTGAAGCCACTGTTCAGCCAAAAGCCAAGATTTCTTCTAGAATCCACCATCTTTTTTTCTGAGAGAGATTTTTGCTATAGGGTGCATGCACTCACTGGAGACAGAAGGTGAGAAATCACCCCCCGGGGAGGGGGGAGGTGGCCACGCTGTGATTTCTTTTCCTTCATTCTTTTCCCAGGATCTTGGGCACATATGCACATGTGCCTGACATGAATTTCAAGCCACCAGATCTGGGACTCAAACTGCTGTTGGCCATGTGGAAATTCAGCAACTACACCACCTCTGGCCCTGACCCACCATCTTTAATCCCATGAGGAGTTAATCCACCAACAAAGTTTTTACTCCCTGGACAGAGTGAGCAGGGGCAATTGACCTAACCCCATCAGGATTTCTTTCCCAAAAATTTGCAAATTGTTGTGAATAGTTTCAGTTGAGGACTGGCAGGCCTTGGGTAGGTTAGGGCAGTCTGCTGCGCACTCAGATCAGGGTCATGCCTGGCCTGGGCACCTCGCCTCCTGCTCACTCTGGCCCTTCCTGCTGGCTCATATCATCACTTAAATGACTTAAATCAGTTCCTGCTCCTCCCGTGGAAAATCTTTAAACTAAAAGCACCCAGTGGTTGGGAAGCGCTCAGTTACTCAGGGGTACCCAAATGCACCTCTCGTGTCTATCCTGGAAGTCTCTAGCAGATCAGACACATTGAATTTGCTCAAATCCATGAATTAAAGAGATGTCATTTGGACCAACAGTGTGCTTGGACAGTGTTGTTAATCTGCCACCAACAAGCCAGACGAACCTTGCACTCAGTGGTAGACATGTGTCGCTCTGGCCCTTGTGTCTCAGTGAACCTGCCTTCAGCAGAGAGGCCTCACTGAGGGCCTGTTTCCAACCTGCCAGTCAGCTTCCTGTGCAGTTGGTTCACCTCGGGCAGCTGCTCCAGGCCCCACTCCTGCAGAGGTCTTTAACAATCATACTCACTTTACACACCCTGGTGTGGAGTGCTGACCCTCAGCAGATTGCAGCAGGGAGCTGCCCTGCTCCACAGGAAGCCATGCCCAGGGGTCGGTCAGGCTCCCCCACTGGTCAGTGGTCTGTGCGGGTGAGGGATAGGGAGACGCTCTTAGTTTTAACACCTGTTTCACTCAGTGCTAAATAAAGACCATACCTAGCCTGCAGTCCAGGTCAACTTATTCTAGCATTCAAATCAAGATTTCAAGATGGGGGTCGCACTAATATTCCTGCAGTTAATCTCAGAGAGGGAAGAGGGGAGGGGGATGTGATGGGGTTAAGCTGGGGAGGGCAGATAGGAAGAAATCAAAACACATCTCATGTACTTAAATGTATCTATCTATCCACGTGTGTGTGTGTTTATTTATTGTGTGTGTGTGTTTATTTATTTAATCTCGTTCCCTCAGGAGTGAAGTCTCGCTGGGCTTACTGAGAACCTCAGGAGGAGGGGGTCAGTTCTGGGAGCTCCGTTGTCTCCATATTGTAGTTACTCTTTGATTCAGAGTAGGCCTCCCATTTCAAGATCTCTATGATCTGCTGTAGAAGCTCAACAAAAGGAAGATCTTGGGGAAACGTAATGTGGGAGTAGGGAAAAGGTAGGGGTGAATGTTGAGGTGGGGAAGGGTTCTGGGAAGCAGGGGGTGGGGGAGGGTGCTGGAAATACCAAGAAGGGCGGCCAGAGAGAGGGCGAGCAGGGACAGGGGGAGGGCGAGCTGGCTGGGAGGTAGGAGGGGAAGGGGTGGCTGGCTGGAGCATTTGCAGGGCATTAGAACCAATGTTGGAAGCAATCCATTTCAGGTAGGGCCAGGTAGCTGTGTAGATTCCAGGGTGCCTAGCACGGGCACAGCCGGCCCCCCAGCTTGTGACTCCCACGACCACATAGGCGCTTTCCTCGTTTTCTCTGCACATGAGAGGCCCACCGCTGTCCCCCTGCCCAGAAGGACACAGAAGTCACTCTGCCCGAGCCACCGTCTCCCTGCCCAGCGCCTGCTGCAGCCCACTTCCTGCTGCCATGAGCGTGGCGGTGGCGGCAGGGTGTGAGGTGGCGCCTACAGCTTCACAGGGGTGTGAGGAGGGTGTGGTGGGCACGAGTGCCCGAGTGAGCTGATGAGCAAACACGTGTGCATGCATGTGGCTGTGCCTCTGGGTACGTGTTCTGGGACAGGGAGACAGACACTCCCTCCAGGGGGAGGTCTGCGGCAAGGCTGGGGTAAAGCCAGTGTGCTGGCTGCTTCTTGGAGTAGCCGCTGCTGTCACCTCCCAGCCCATAGTGCAGATGCTAGGAGGTGGGACTGGGGAAGGTCACTGGAGTAGGGCCCTGGGCAGAGGGGTGGAGGTCAGGGATCCACAGCAGTAAGCTCGGGGGTCTGGGCAGTCCTGGGAGGTTCCAGGACCCAGGCCCCGGAAGGAAGTTTACCTGGCAGGTGTCGATCATGCCCTGCGGGTACCCGGCACACACGTTGGTTGAGTGGATGTGTCCATTGTACCACTGGGTAGAGTTACACAGGTCTAGGTTGATGATGTTGACATTGGCCTCCTGCAGTGTCGGTGACGGCCTGGTGGCTGCAGTCAGGTGATTCAGTGGTCAGTGATCATGGAGACATGGGAGAAAGCCCTGCCCCCTCCCTCCACTGGACCCGCCTTCTGTGCTGCTCTAAGGTAGCCCTTAGTTTCACGCAGTCTGCGCTCCGGCCTCTCCTTGCACACACCTGCAGGGGAGGAGGAGCACACGGAAAGGGCAGGGACGAGACGGGGTGGAGGAGCAGGAGGGGAGTCCGGGAGGGGAAGATGGAGGCACACGGAGAGGTGGGCAGAGGGTGAATGGCTGGAGGTGCCTGTTAATGGGAGCTGGTGGGGGTTGGAGGTGAGCCGTGGGGTCAGAAGCTGGGGTGCAACCCACCAGGTTGTAGGAGGGGTGTGGAGGGGGCATATCTGGGCCCAGAACTACTCCCTCTAGACCTGTCTGAGATCTGTCTTCCGTCCTACAGCCAACAGTGAGTCGCCTCCCTGTGCCCTCCCGTGCCAGGACTCCTGGCTCAGCTGTCCTCTCAGGTGCATCTGAGAGGTCAGGGGAGCGAAGAGCTGTGGCAGAGCCCCACTTGGGCAGACCTGTGGGGGCCCATGGTGAGACAAGCCCCAGACACTGCCATGGCCTCTGGGTTAGGGAGGTCCCGCCTGTGCTGGGTCTCACACAGCCAGCATTGCATCTGGCTTAGACCCCAAGACCCAGTGAAGCTGCCCACTCTTCATCAGGGGGTCACAGACCAGCCACAGCTTCTCAGGTGACTCTGGACATCTGCAGTGTAGACTGGAGCCAGCGGGTGCACAGCGTGCAGGCCAAGACAGGAAGACAGGAGCTTGAGCAGTGCGGGCTCCAGGGCTGCTGTGCTTGCCCTTTTCAACCCATTATCCCCACCACTCTTTTTTTTTTTAAAGAGGTTTTTGTTATAGGGCGTGTGCACTCACCAGACAGACAGAGAGAGACAGAGAGACAGAAAGTGAGAAATCACCCCCCAGGGGGGATGGCCAAGCTGCAATCCCTTCTCCTCCATTCTCCTCTCGGGATCTTGGGCACGCACGCACACGCGCCCAGCGTAAGTTTTAAGCCACCGGGTCCAGGACGAGAACTGTGGTCGACTACGTGGGTAGCCGTTACACTAACTGCTGGTCCCATCCCCACCACTCTTACCATCACACTGCGGTGAGTTTGTGCTGACTGCCTGTGTAGCACGGTGACAGTGGGATGACAAGGACAACCACCCTGGGTTGGCCACTAAGATGCCTGTCCAATCTATGGCAGAGCCCATAGTCTGGAAAGCCACAGCTTCATCTGAAGCCAAGTGTCCTGTAACTGAAAAGGGTTTTCTCAACCCCAGCACCTTGGCTTTAAGTAACAAATGCTAAAGGCCTTCGGGAACTCAGAGCTCAAAGGAGCAGTATTCTAGGGTGGCTCTTCCAGCCCCAAAGCAGATGCTTTCAAGAGGAGAACAGGGAAGGTCTGAAAGAATCAAGTAGCATGGAGTCTGGGGCTTTCCATAAGACCTGAGCTTGGGATAGGAGATGTGTTGGCATAAAAAAGAGAAATATCCCATTAATTGTAGGGGAGTCCACTGGACCCTCTCCCAAGACCTTTTATGACCTCCAAGCTGGAGCTGGAGCCTACGGTCCTCCTAAGCAGTAGGGGAGCTAAGGTGGGGTAGGGGAGACCCTGAGATCAGCCCCCCAGGGAGCTGTGGTAGGAGGGTGGACAGAGTCCAGTCGTCGGGGTGCACGAGAAGATGCACATCTCTGTTCTAGAGGCTGCAGCAGAGCCACAGGCACCACAGCGGGGATACACAGGGGAACCCAGGCCAGGAAGGAGCAGCTGGGGTGGGCTCCCTACCTCAAGGAACGAGTAGGTGACAAACCTGTCAGAATGTTAGATTAGGGAAGGGCTAAGTGTTAAACCTCAATAGGCAGAATTGCTTAGAGAGACAGAGAGAGATGGATTTGATGCTGCAATCCTCTAGCCTCCATAGGTTTTTGCCGCAGTGCAGGCTTAGAATTAGAGAGGCTGAGTTTTTCATTATCAGGGAAAAGGGGAGACAGAGCTCAGGACACAGCTCTAGTATGAAAGAGCGGCTCATGGGAAGCTAGCAGCATAGTCCCCACTTTTCCTTGTCCTGCTGGCAGCTTGCTGCTGCCACCAAGTGGGTGACCAGCTGCTTCTGGCGTGAGCAGCGTCTCCAGGCTTTCAGTATGTGGGGAAGGGGCGTCTGGGACTCAGAGCATAGCCATGGCATCAGCAGCAGTAGCTGCCCCAGGACTCCGGGGGCCTCTGAGCCTGGCCTCCTGGAGGAGAGCCCCCCCACACTCAGTACCGCTCTGGCGTCCAGTGTGCTAGGCAGTGTTGTGGGAGCCAGGAAAGGTGTAGACAGCTTGGCTGGGACAGAGGTCCAGAGAGACAGCTACACCCCCTCTCAAATGGCAAAGGACTCACCGGATACCTCCAAGGGGCCTGAAATGCCAGAATATCTATGACCTACAGAAAACGGCCTTCCAGTCTACAGAGAAGATGTCAGGTCACTCAGATGGGTAGGGTGGAGTTTGGTCTATGTCTGGCCAAGATTGTGGAGGAAGGTAGGAGTGAGACAGAAAGGCTAGGCCTTGGCTCTCAGACGCTGGGAAACGTTTGCCCTGGAAACACGTACAGAGGAGGGACTATGGCCCAGAGCACAGGAGGCACTGAGCACACTCCGAAACCACATCTAGGGTTCTTCTCCAAACAGCCTTCCAAGGATTGTTCCCAACTCCAGAGCCCAGTACAGAGTCTTGGCCCTGTTCTTACAAGGTTGCTGGTCAGCCTTCCCTTAGGGAGTCAGTGGCATGACCCGGCCGCTCACTCTCCATGTCTCCCATGAGGACTCTACTCTTAGCACCCTGAGGAGGACTGGCTGCTGCGCCTGGGCATCAGTATATGACCACCAAAGGAATGGCCAGCAGGGCCCTGAGATCCCTCTCATACTCACCATTCTCCGTGGTGTAACCCCATCCAGCCACCCAGCAGTTCAGAGGACGTTTGGGTGGGCCTTCCTTAAAGTGGGGCAGGCAGCATGGCCCAATGAACGGCCCACAGGGCACAGGAGGGGTGACCTTCAGTAGAGCTATGTCGTTTTCGTCGGTCAGAGGGTTGTACTGGTCATGAATGACGATTTTCTCAATAAATCTCTCTTGCAGAGGCTCCTGCACTGGCTTATCAGACCCATAGGCAATGTCCTTTGCTCCAAAAACCAGTCTCCAGTCATATGGATTTCTGTGGGCACAAAGGTGAGCCAGGTCATTCTCACCGGCTGCCGGACAGAAACCCTCAGATGGCGACCCTCCTAGCCTGCCCTAGTCCTGTGGCCCCTGGTTCCAGAGCCCCAGGCCGACTCTGCGCAGAGCCCACTAGAGGGCGCCCCTTTCCGGGAAGACCTCCCCAGCGCGGTCCCTACGTACTTCCGCTTGTCGAAGCAGTGAGCAGCGGTCAGCACCCAGCGGGAATTCAGCAAGCTGCCTCCGCACGCGTGGTACTTGCGGCGTTTGTGGGTGAATACCTGCAGGCTGACCATCCAGGGCCAGGCTCCATGCTTTGCTTCTTGCCCTCCAACGACGCGCATGCCGCCCTGGAACTGCCTGAACCGCAGCCCGCAGGGGCCGCTGAGGAGAGACCAGAGCACATTCAGGCTGAAAATGGATACAGCCCCACCAAGGGGCAGCGACATCCCTGGGCACAGTGGGCGGCCGGGGCGGGGTCTGGGCCGGAGGGGAGAGTGATGGCCTAGGTCTTCAGAGCCAATCTTAGGTGGGAGACTCAGGGAGGAGTCAGATGACCAAGGGGGCCTTGGGGCTGCAGGGTCCAGTCGGAGGCCACAGAGAGCGCTGGTAGCCACAGGCAGGCCCAGGGGGGGCGCTGTTAGCCACAGGCAGGCAAAGTGGCCACAGGATGGGCACAGAGCAGCCTAGGCCTGAGGGGGAAGTGCTGGGTACTGGGTCCCAGTTAAAGGCCATGATGGTCAGGGCTGTTGGTGTTGTGAGGTGTCCTGGGGGAGGGAGATGCTCGAAGTGACTTGAAGGCATCCCAGCCCTCAGGGACAGCCACAGGTGGTTGTGTGAGCGCATGATGTCTGAAAGGCAGGGGGCCAGGCGCTGGAGGAGTAGGGACCACAGATCCAACTACTTGGGACCTGAGGGGCCAATCTCAGGAGGAGACTCAGACAACAGGGGCTTGGGAGCTCTGGGCTGACAATTCTGGGAGCCAGGAAGGCCCATGTGGGGAATGTGGGACCAGGAGGTGTGAGGCCCTGCAGTGGCTAAGGCGACCTTGACCTCCTTCTCCCTAGCACAGGATGGATGCTATCTGGGTGGGACTTGTTCTTCAGAAGACCCTCCCCTCCGGAGCACCCTGACACTTACTCACACGTAGTGTTTTCTCTGGCAACCGCAGACACTGCCAAAGCCAGGAGAACGACAGTTGGCAGCATCTTCGCCATCCTCCTGCCTGCCTGGCCTGGGAGCCCAGTGACCTCACAGAGCTCCAGGGCCTCCTGGCCAATCAGCACAGTGAGCTCCCACCCCCACCCCCAGGCCACACCAGGCAGGAGCCCCTGGGAGTAACTGGTTCCTGCTGCAGTGCCCTCCAAATTCCTGCACAGTCCCCAGCTCCAGGGCCCTGAGAGACTCACGCCAGGGTTCTCAGTTACTCTTTCAAGGTCAGATGACACCTGGGGTGCTGCCTCTGTGCAGATGCAGGGTCTGCCCCTCTCGTGAGCTGTAACCACAGCTGAGAAGCCCTTCTGTGATGGGGCAATGTGGTCATGGTTAAGCTGAATCAGCCAGTGAAGAGACCCTTCGTGCCCAGCCGGGCGAGCCACCGTCTCCTTCCCCACATGTACCCTCTAAGCACTTTTCAAAGAGTATTTTTAATTTCCTCAGTTTACAAAGTCCCCCTTCCTATCCATTGCTGAGTATCATGAGGTCTGATATTTCCGACCCGAGTGTCTTCAGGTCTTCTGGCCAGGACCACAGCGCACCAAGGTGCTACCCCTTCTACTCCACAAAGCAGATTTTTTTCTACTGGGTCATTCTAGCATCTCAGCTGTGGAGTCTGACAGGTGCTCATCACAATCCCTGAATACCTCATTGTTTCACTTCTGTAGGAGTGTCAGGCGGACACCCCTGTGCCTGCACAAGGAGCAGTCTCGCCTCCTCTCTCTAAGTGCATGGTCTCAACCAGTCTGAGGGTCAAGAGGTCCCATCTCAGCCAGATGAGCGTCCCAGGACCTTGTCCCTTCTGAGCATCAGGATACCTCATCTCCTCCCGAATACTGAGTTTTCAGATGATTGGATGACCTCGAGTTCTCTACCCGCGTATCTCCGCTACTTTCTCACCACACAGAGCTTTCAGGTCATGCCTCCCTCAACGTCCTTAGTCTCACATATCATATTTATTTATTTATTTTTATTTGACCAGAGAGGGACAGAGTGAGAGAGAGAGAAGGAAAGTGAGAAAGCAAGTCACCAGGTCCAAGACTCAAACCATGGTCAGCCATGTGGGAGTCCAGTACCCTTAACTACCATGTCACCTGCCAGCCCCAGGTCTCCCATATCTTACCCAAGTACCAGAGAGCTATCACCTTTTCTCCCTGAATGTGAGGAAGTCTCTTATCTTCCATCTCAAGGACAGAGACCTCACCCCTTGCATCTCTGCACAGCTTAAGAAGCCTGTCTACTACTTGAATATCACACCTTTTGTACCTGAGAATCTAGGGGTTTCCCAAACTCCCACCTGGATGCTAAGTGACTGCACCTTGCCTACACGTGTGTTCTGAAGTCCTGACTGACATACCAGAGTGTCGGAGTTATCGCTCATGCTCACCTGTCTGGAGTCCCTATCTTCTACTTGGTTATAGTTCCATCTCCCTACCTGAGGGTCGTGAGCATTCATCTCCTCTACCAGGTATTATCGGGTCTCTTCTACACTGAGTGCCCCAGTTCTTAGCTTTCTGAATGAAGGTTTTCCTTCCCCTTTCTGGTTGTCATCAGGTCTCATCTCCCCTCCCAGAGGGTCATAAAGTTTCATATCTCCTATTTGGATGCAAGGAGGGCTTGTATGCCCTGCCTGAGGGTCATGACACTTCAGTGCCTCCACCTGAGTATCAGGAGAGCTTGTCTTCTATCTGGGGTCAGGTCTCATCTCTGGCTGTGTGCTGAGGTACCATCTCTTCTTCTAAGAGGTTGGAGGTCTCATCTCCTCTACTAGAGTTACAAACATATCCCATCTCTCTACCTCATCTCTCCTATCTAGATGTCACAAAGTCTATCTTCCCTGCCTGAGGCTCGGGGATTCCTGTCGTAGTCTCGGGTATTCCTGTCTCTTTTGCCTAATCACCAGGACATCTCATTTCTTCCAGAGATCTCATCTCATGAATCTGTTCATCAACAGCTGTCATTTCCTCTACACCAGTGACTGCCCCAATATCCACTCTTCCTGCAGATCAGACGGTCTCCAGTAACGGGGCCAGGACATCTCATCTTTCTTAACCAGGGAGTAACAAGGGCCTTACTTCCCAGAGAGGCAAGACTATTGAACTCCCTTCACTGAGTGCTGACATGGACTGCTTCTCCTAGATGATCGTAAACAGATCTTAATAATCCAATTATCTGAGTGCCGTGAGGTTGTCCTTTCTGCTACCTGCAGGTCAAGAGGTCTCCTCTCCTTGGGAACCAGCAGTTAGCGTAATGGCTATGTCGCTGGACTCCCACGTAGTCGACCGCGGTTCGTGTCCCGGACCCGATGGCTTAAAACTCACGCTGGGCGCGTGTGCGTGCGTGCCCAAGATCCCGAGAGGAGAATGGAGGAGAAGGGATTGCGGCGTGACCATCCCCCCTGGGGGGTGATTTCTCGCTTTCTGTCTCTATGTCTCTCTCTGTCTGTCTGGTGAGCGCACGCGCCCTACAGTGAAAATCTCTCCCCCCCCCAAAAAAAAAAAAAAAAAAAAAAAAAGAGGTCTCCTCTCCTTTACGCAAGCATAAGGAGGCTTTGTCTCTCCTGTGTCAACTTCAGGGCTTCTGGGTATCTGGGCCTGGAGAGCTCTTACCTCCTACGTCTGGTGTCACAGGACACATGTCTTCTGAGTGTGCAGAGAACTGTTCCCCCAATTAAGTGTATAAGGTCTCCCTTTTCTGACCTTTTGTCAGGCGGGTTCACCTCCTTGATCTGGAGGTTGGAAGATCTTATTCACGAACCTGTGTTAACAGGTTTCAATCCAGCTATTAAGGGTTTGGAGATCTCACTGATTTTGCCTGATAAGTAACTAAAAAGAACAATGGAATCTAGTTCAAGAACTGATGTTAAAGTTTCAACTTTTAAATAAAACTGCCCAGGTGTTTTTAAAGGGTCTTGATGGGCATAAAATGGCTATGGTATTTGGATTCATGGGACCTGTTTAAAGGAATGATGTCATATTTCATTTTAAGTGTTAATATGTACAATTCTTCTGGAAATCATAACCTTAGGAGCTATTTAAATATTGGTGAGAATGTTAGATATAAATTTTTTAAAGAATTATTATTATTTTTTATTTAATTTAATTTATTTATTTTATTTTGACCATAGAAGGATAGAGCAAGTGAGAGAGAGAGAGAGAGAGAAAGTGAGAAAGGAAGTCGCCAGGTCCAGGACTCAAACCACTGTCGGCTATGTGGGACTCCAGCGCCCTTAACCACCATGCCACCTGCCAGCCCCATAGAACGTTAGCTATAAATTGTAAAATGAAAGACAGTACCTGATTTAAAAAAAAAAAATAGGAGTTATAGAATAACAGAGTCTCGGACCTCACATCTGGATTCTAGAGGACAGTTACTGTTAGACTCTGCAGTGCTGACCCACTTCTGATTCTAAGGGCCGCCAGTCCTCAGACGACTACTGGTCACAGTGATGAGGACAAGGTCCAGAGACCGACCAGTTCAGCTCTGTCATCACATCTAAAGGGAACAGCAAGCGTCTTCATGAAGAGCAACCTTGTCTGCCTCCCATGGTGTTCAAGGGCGAGGGAGGAAGGAGTGAAGGCACAGGACACTTAGGGTCTGGGTCCCAGTGGCTACCAGGAGCTCGGCTCAGGGTGAGGCAGGGCACCCAGCAGAGGGGCCAGAATGAGGGCTTCCGTTCCCCTCTCAGACCCCCTTCCTGTTCTCTGCTCTTCTTTCCTCACCCCACACATCCCCGAGCTGGCCCCAGCCTTTTTTAGCTCCTTTTCACTCCCAACACCCCCTGCCCTCTCCACCCCTGCTCACACCCAGTCCCACCCCCATTCACCTGAGCAAGCCAACTCCCACCCACTTTTTCTCACTCTGATCTGCAGCCCCTTTTTTCCAAGACAGCCCTCCACAGAGCAGAATCCTGGTCCACGCAGCCTGTGTCCAGGCTCTGCCCAGAGCTGCCCACAGGACCTTGGAGTGCAGGTGGTAAGGGAGAGCTGGGGCTGCAGCTCCAGAGAGAGCTAGCAAGTGGCTCACGGTGAGAGAGTAAAGCAGTCTGGGGGAGGCCCCATCCTGAGCACTTGGGCTCCCCAACAGTTGGCTCTTCTCGGCAGGCTTCTCGGGCAGACCTGCAGAGCCCTGCCCCTATACTGAGGCTTCTCCCCAAGCCCATGGGCACTGTGTTGGTCATGGCATGCCCAGGGAAAGCACCCTTGCTCTCAGGAACTGCTTCTTCCTCTGTGCTGAGACGCTGCGCTTCTGCCAGGCTGGTCCTCAAGATCCCCTGCAGGATGCTACGGAACTCAGCCCCAAGGAGTGTCGGACTTCACCTCTGCCCTACACTCTGACCCTCCCAGGCCCCATTCCTTGGCCCCTGCACCACAACCAGTTTCTAACCTGAAACAGAGAGGGAAAAAGAAAATGTTGAAAAATTGAAATTGTGGGCCTTCCCAGAGAGACAGAGCCTCTCAACGCCCTGTTGCCAAGCCATAGCCATTCCAAGCCTCAAGGGGACTCTCCCTGGTCTCTCAGTCTCTGCAGGGCCATCCTATTCCTGAGCCTTCCACAGCTCTAGGACAGCCTGCTTCTGCCTTCAAGGCTTCGGCCCACTCTAAAGCCCTCTGCACCTCTACTTCCTGGCTGGCTCCTCCCCCGGTCCCACCTGACTCAGGGATAATGTGTCTTCTCGGCACCAGCATGGCTCTGCACCCGCTGCCCTCCGGGCCCTCTCGACCTCAGTCCTATGGTCTCCAAGCACGTTCCCTCTCCATCTCCTTTCTCAGCTCAGGGGAACATGTCTACCCAGTCACCTTTCTGTTCGCCCTTCAAGGTGGCTCATCACCTCCCCCACTTGCTGCAGTGCATCTCCTCCTCTGGCTGGCCACCCCACCAGGTGTACAGGAGCCCCCAGCTCTCTGGAAGCTGCTCCTGGCAAGGCTGCCTGTGCACTCTGGAAGTACGTCTGTGCCTGCAGTGCCTGGCCAGAGCAGCAGCAAAAGACACGTCTCACACCCTGGAGTCCAGCTGGGGAGATGCCCCTTGGTGGGGAACACCCACTTGCTCTAATTTGAGATGGTGCCTGGGCTGTGCGGATGCAGGACCCCACATCTAACTCAAGCTTGGGAGGACCAGTCAGGAGAGGCTTTCTGTAAGAGGAGACCAAGCCCTAGCTCAGCCTCTGAGGGTATACGGCCTTCATGAGGTAAAGGAGAAACAACCTCACAGACGGAGGCAGGCCTGAGAGAAGACAGTGCCATGAGGAGCTGCCAGGACTCCGAAGCTACAAGGGCACGGAGGCAGCCTGGATGAGGGGGAGACAAGGGAGCAGGCAGGGTGAGGCCACAGGCACATGCGGGTCCCAACGGGCTTCTCTGTTCACAGAGATAGTCTGGAGACAGAAACCACTGAATATGCTCAGGAGGAATGGTCAGCAGCCACAGGGTAGGACAGGGGGGCGAGGAATGAGAGAGCTCCAGAAAGGAGCAGAAGTCATAAAGTGACACTCGAGTAGAAGTCTAAACTACGACAGGGCCCTGGAGGAGGCCTGGACTTCCAAGAAGGAGCTGCTGCTCAGTGAGCTTAGAAAAAAGAAAGGGGTTGGGACCAGCAGTTGGCATAATGGCTATGTCGCTGAACTCCCATGTAGTTGACCGCAATTTGAGTCCCAGATCCAGTGACTTAAACTCACGCCGGGCGCATGTGCAAGCGTGCTCAAGATACCGAGAGGAGAATGGAGGAGAAATGATTGCAGCGTGACCATCCCCCCGGGGGGTGATTTCTCGCTTTCTCTCTGTCTTTCTGGCAAGTGTACATGCCCTATAGTGAAAAAAAAAAAATTTTTTTTTAAAAAGAGAAAGAAAAAAGAGAGTGGCTCCCAGCTTGGACTCCCAGGACCGAGTTCCTACGGACTGGGATAAAAGCCGGGCTCGTGGGCACAGTGCCTTGGCTCAAGGACAGGGTTGAGAGCCCACACACGGTAACGGCTCTCAGAGGTCTATGTGGCCCAGAGGGTCAGAGGGGCCCCTGCTTCCACCATTATCTCAAGCAGACAACTGAGATATAAGTCATTTCTTATAAATTTATTACATAATATTATAATAATTATTATCAATAATAATAATATAAGAAACATAGATCTCTGTGGGGTGTATCACAACGTCAGGGTCAGGAGGCCTCAGGGCTGGAGCGGGGGTGAAATCCCCCGGTGGAACTCCATACAAAAGGAAGGGTGAAGCGGAACTGACCCTGTAAAGTTAAAAACCCAAATTGAACGGAACCAAAAACCCACAGGTGAGTGTGAGACGAGTGTGTACGTGCAGTCTGTCACAGCGACTGCCACTGTGTCTGTGAAGGGCTAGTGGGCGTGACGCAGCCCAGGGAGTGGAGCCGGAGGCCGGGGAGGAGCGGGTGGGCACAGACCGGCGTGCCAGACCCCTGGGCTGTGAAAACTGTTGTTTTCTGTCTTTTTTTTTTTAATTTTTATTAAAAAAAGCTAGAAATATAAACAGAAACTTGTGAGTGACGTGAATGGAGCTTAGTCCAGACTCCAAACCCTAGGTTTAAAAACGTCCCAGGGCCCCCCGCCCCACAGGTCATTGCTGAGTGTGAGGAGTCACAGTAAGGGGGGCTGGGGCACCCTCAGGGGTCTTTGACTCCCCAGGGCCTGTGGTGGCCTGACTCTAGGGGTCCCCATGCTTCCCTCAGAAGTCCAAGGGGAGTACACTGCCTGCAGGGTCCCTTGGAGCCTCCCCACGTCCACAGGGTTCCTCAGGGAACCAGCTCAGGCTGGTGAGGCTCTGGAAGGACTGGCTGGGCAAAGAGCAGGACCCAGGTGCAGGATGGCCTCTGACTTTCTTTGGAAGAGGAGACAGGGCGCCCTCACAGGCACACACCCAGGCACGCACCCTGTGCACGCTCCCACAGCCCCCATGTTAGTGCAGAGGGGCCCCTCGGAGCCACGCAACGTCAGGCACACACAGGGCTCCCACGCACTCAGTTGCACCCAGAGTTCACCCACGCACACGTGCGTGCACACACACAGGGCAAGAACAGGAGACTTTGGGGTCCAAGGCAGGGAGACTTCTTTGCTGTAGTTGCCCAAAGAGCATTGGAGGAGGCTGGACTCCTCCTTGGGGAGAGACCCTGTGAGGAAGATGGCTAGGAGCGAAGTGTCAGGGACCTGCCCCCACCCCCAGGGCGATGGTTTTCCCAGCCACCCAAGCCTGCTGGCCCCCTGCAGGACCGGCTGCCCGCCGCCCACCCCCTCCCTAGCAGCACCTGAAGGGTCTGTGGGGCGCACTGTAGCTCAGCGAGGGGAGGGGGCCGAGCGGGGGCCCCAGGGCGGCCACGAGGACCTGGCCAACCCCAGACCAGCTGGAGTCCTCTGCCTCGCGTGGGGTGGCAGTGGCAGTGAGGGCCAGAGACGGAAGACTGGGCAGCTGCAGCGGACAGGGAAGGGGGGTACTGTTACGGACAGAGATATTTGTTCCTTTTCTCGTTCCAAATATAGAGTGGATTAAAATATGCAAAACAGGGGGGCTCCTTGGCCCCATCGAGAACCCCAATGTCTCCCCCCTCCCCCCCGAGTCACCAAGGTGTGTCCTGACCTCGCATGCTGGACTACGTCCCCCCTCGAGAATGGGCCTCAGGAGCTGTGCAGATGGCGGCCAGGCCAGAACAGCCCAGCCCAGCCCCTCCCGCCCCACCTCCTGGTCCGCGCGCTTCCTGACTGTGCTGGGGGGGCTCGGCGGGCGGGGGGGGG